TCACGAACGGAGCAGACAGTCCGACTGGCGTATTTGCAGAGACAGAGGTGTTTCAATTTTACTACTAAATTGCACTAATTGCCCTCTAAAATTGAGTCCTCTTCCAATTACCTATCTTCTATTATGCTTTCGTTTGTGCTCGTCGTTATACCTATACTTCTAATATTATTATACGTTCGCCTAAACTGGCCTCCCTTTATGAGAAATGAATGAAATAATTATCGAATTATGCGCTATTTCCGCGCTCTCCTAAGATGAAGATCTCAAACTTTGACTTGTTTTATAGCATCAGAAGATTATAGGGGTAGTTAAGTAACCCCATCTTCCCGTAAATATTGTTTTCTGACATTAAAGAGTAATTTTTTAAATTTTCTTTTCTTTTACCTGTGGGTGAATTGAGGTGAAATAGGGTGAATTTTTATCTCCACCACTGGTAGGTAGAGGAAGCCAAATGCCCCGCAGCCACTTAATTATTATACCTATTCGACAAAGTAAAAACCCGGAAAAGATTTTCTAGATTTCGTCCGTCGCTGCGGTCCAAGGCAATTTGGCACGTGATTTAAGGACTTAGAGGGAGCGTCCTTCACCTTTGAGGCATTCATCATCCGGCAAAAGTGGCGTGTTTTGCCTGATTTCCCGGTTTTTTTCCTCTAGATTGGATTGTCGCAATTCGATTCCGGGTTTGTTTTTGCGCCCAGTCGCAGGAATTAATCTTAACAAAAGTAGTCTCATTAGCCCGATGGCGCAATCACGTAATGAAGCGTAATGCCGGTATTTTTTCGCGATTTACGATGATATTTTTCTGTATATAAAAATAATTTTTGCAACCGGAAAAATTAATTTAGAGTAGAAACGGCAAGTTGTAAGTGGTTAATGGTAAGTATGTAGTAGCAAACTCGATAAAAGCAAATTATGGAAGTCGGTTTCATCGGGAGTTGGGAGAAAGAAGTGGCCGTTAAACGAAATCTCTATAAAGCAATCTCTCGCCATAAAATTGAGTTAGAGCCGGCCCGAGGAGACTGACGGCTTAATTAATACATCGGTGGTCAGTTAGGTAGAGTTATAAAAGATTAAAAGAAAAAAAAAATCATTTCAATTCGTTGTAAATATTTTTTAATTTCTTCTACTTTAAACTTTAAACCGAATAAAATTTGTGATTATCTCACAATTTAATTATCGTACAACATTATGCTTGTTTATTTATACAGAATAATTATATGACCGTTCATTTAGATTATTACAATCAAATTTTATAGATCAATTTATGGAATTTAAATAGCAACTATTAATTTATCAGTATTCGTCCGATTAAATTAATTCGCTCAAATCGTATCGTACATTTATTCAGCGGAATTAAAACGGGCGAAAAGAGCGTTTTGTTTAAATTTAATTCAATTCGAGGGTCGCCAACAAAAACCAACTGGCGCCGATTACAAAAATGGCCCTATTTAACAATGCTCGTAATACAATGCCCGAGACGGGCGCTTCTTCCCCTACGCGACCGTCGTTCCCTTCATATTTCATCGAATTTTGCGAATTTTTCTTCGCCGTATCGCTCTCGTGGTTGCCGTCTGCACGGCAATATAGGTACTTATCTTAATGAGGGTGGTTTTAATGAAGCGCGCCGGCGGGGCCGCGACGGGGGGGCGGTAAGAGTTCGTCGCGCGATCGGGTTGGTCGCCGGGAGAATTTCCATTTTCGTGTCAAGAGTTTGTTCAGACCTTGAATTAAAAATCTATTGTCGAAAAACTTTCGCCGGCTCGACGGAGTTTCCGAACTTATCGGAATTCGAGCAAAGGACTCGATTGCTGGTTTTAGTTTTACTATATGGCTCTTCTAAGTTCGGAAAAAGGCCCCGAACCCCTTTAAATCCCGCGTAGGTGTAGATACTACCAAAAAAGTGTAATAAAGTCGAGATCGTCAACTTTGAGGTGAAATTATTGAAACGTGTGAAAAGGATTTTAGGGAGGCATTATTGAATTTCTCAAACATATATTCATCATGCCATATGCTATTTTTTGTAATGGCTTTCTTAGTATACTGTGACTTAAACTATAGTCGGGCTCTATAGGTGGTTGAAGTTTATCTGAATTAGCGGCAATAACCGTTCTCTAGTCACAGTTATATTTACAGCAATGGTCGGTTGAAGATGTCCTTTGAGACGTGTTTTCGACCATATTATCTCCAGTACACCAGCAATTCGAGTGGGTTGGCCTAGTAACCCAAAACTATCTATTATTCAATGATGTGTTGTTCAATTTCTAAATCTTAGATAAGATGATTTTTTAAATGGCTGTTAAGCAGTGGTTAATTTAATCTCAAATAGCTTCACCAGCTGATTAAAGATAATTTATTAACAAAACTTTAATACCAACATTAATTTTATATTCCTGCTAGCAGGTAAATAATATACCTACATAATTCTAAATTACCCAAAGTAGATATTTCCACTTGAACTGATGCAAGATTAAAGGAATCGACTAAAAGTTTCAAATTTTCCATTCGCTTCTATTTAGCCGATTTTTTCACGTTACGTTCGTTCCGCTTGCATTTTGTGGCAATTGCAATGAATTCAATTTCGAGTAGCTCCTATCAATCCGACTGGAAGACAATAATCGCAGTATCCAATTAATCCCACTTGTTAGAACACGAGCGATAAACCTCTATAATTAGTAACCATAAGTGAACTGTAACGGACCATATATATTACAAATGGCCCATTCGTGTGACTTTGAATATTCCCTGTTATTCGAGGGACTCTGGGAATATCCCTCGACAAGGCATTGAGATAACTTGCATTGTGTTAATTATTCCGGATCAGCATTTACTAAATCGTATTTAAAATAGCTTCAAATTAAAAACTTCAACTCGGTGTGTAGTATTTTTTATTCTGGAACTTATAGAAAATCTCTGCCATCGGATTTTGGAGGAAATCTGAGTGTATGCATGCAATATTCACAGACTGCTTCGCCGTCTGCCTGTCCATTAACTTGATTTGCGGGATTTTGCATAGTATAACGGGGAAATTTAATAAACATAACAATGAAATATTCCGGCTTATCGCGACCGGAATCTATTAGGCGGAAGGATAAAATGTTATTGTGGTTTATTGTGTACCAGGAGGAATTCCTATAATTCGGATGCGTATAGGTAAAACAAGCCGTAACAATATCCGAGCAGCAATATAACAATGTCTGTTGACGTGAGAGTACGATGAGTAAAGATTTATAGATTGTAGTTATTTCAAAGTAGCATAAATGCATCGAGTTGATCGAATTTCTATCACGAAAATATAAGCTTTAAACTCGCAAGAGTGAGGAATGAAGACTGACAAAAATATTCGAAGCATTCTTGTAAATTCTTGAAAATTTCAACAACTGTTGTTGAACAAAGTACTCGAAATTTCCCATAAGGAAACTTACATAATGACCTTAAGGGCCTTTAAAATTCAAGGAAAAAATTATCTAAAAAACCGTAAGGCAAAAGTAAATCGAGTTATACATAGTTTTATCTTCTTGCGTTAAAATGTATACCCGAAAAACATCCCGAACGCAACTCCTATCAAAACTTCTAACGACGGCCAGAATGAGAATGACAAAACGCGAAACGTCCACTGGCTGAGCCCTTTTCGCCGATTTCCATGAAGAACTTTCCGCTCGTTCCGATGGATATTCAAATAAAGAGCCGTCGGCGTTTCCCGACGAAATATAAAATGCGGAAAAGTTGAAAGTTCGGCAACGCAAAAAAACCAAATTCAGATTGAGTTCAAGTCAAGACAAAAGTTCCCGGTGTGTACGAGTGTGTTTCCATTTCGTTTTGCGGCGACTTTTAAAATTGAACAGATTTCACCGACTGCTTTGTTTGGACTCGTTATTTTTATATTTTTTTATATTTATTTTTTTTATTCTCATATCGACAAACTACTCAATTATGTAATGAAAGGTAATGATTAAAAAACCTTTAAATATAGCGAGTCGGCTGGATTTCTTGCGCTATATTTATTATAAATCGAATCCAATGAGCATCTAAAACGGATAGGGATTGATCGATAACGGACTTGTCCTAATGAAAAATAAATTATGTCCATCCGCCAGGGCTAATGTAAAATCAATATAGTGGATAAACAATTTAAAATTGAATTAAACGTTTTACCCTACATCACTATCAATCAAATGTGTACATACGATAAATGGAGGAATTTTGAGAGCTTGTAAATAAAATGACATTTAATAATACATTTTTAATGGGTGCAATGACTGTAAATAATTAAGAATAAGTTTGAGAGATTTGTGTAATTTCATTGTTCAGGTAAATTGGATTTTAACAAGCAAAAATGAGGTTCAATTTTGCATAAAATTGGATTCGAATAAAGTAAAATTTAAAAATGTTGAATTAAATAAGCGACACTTATCTACATACATACCTACCTATGCAAGTTTGCCATTCTGTTCTCATTACGAGTTAATTATTTGCTCAAGGGAATCAATTATATCTACAGAAAGAGTCAATTCCTTTGCTATATGGTGATTGATAAACGATTTATCAGTTCAGTAAGTTTCAGGAAGTTTCAGTAATTTAAAATCACTCTGTATATCTGCGTAATGTTGAAAAAAAAATGAAAAGGAACGCACGCAAAATAGTTAAAATCCTGTTTTTGAAAGTTTAAAAGGAAACTTTCCGGGTTCGAAACCACCACAAATTACTTTAAACCACCTATTTAACTTTGTTCTTTGTACGCAAAGCTTGCATAAGCTCTTATATTCGTTTTATTTTAGGTACAAGCAGAAGTTCTTTGGATGTCTCATTATTTTTCCCGAAGAGCCACAAAATAAAATAACGAAAAATGCGGAATAGAAAAACACAATCTCGAGTTAATTTCCTCTTAGAGAAAAACAATGTTGAAAAAGATGTTTTATAAAACTGGCGATATATTTTGCAAAATCGCTTTAGCGTATATCGAACGAATGCTTCAAATTATGAAATAAATATTTTTGTTCCAGGTCCCAATACTAAAACAACAGTAGCAATCTTGAACTGCCTTCTAGCCAGGCAATTTTGTTTCGAAGACGCTTCTTGTTCAGCCATATTGGAAATTATTCCCAGAGTTTGCGGTCCTGAAGTCGGTAAGTAGCTTTAAATAGTATTGCGAATTTTAAAAACATCTTAATTAGCATACACTGTCATCTATTATTAAAATCAATCACTCAAATTGTATAGAACATTATTATTGCGATTGAAACATTGATGTTATGCTTCATTACAAGGTTTAATACACTATCAATAGCGATTTTTCTTCCCTATAAAGCAATATAACTGGAAGCAATAAAATCAACCTATCAAACGCCCAAATCAACGTTTAACGAACTGCATCAATTACGGGCTTTGACACTTTGACTGTACAAACTACTAATTAACTACACACAATATATTTGCATATACGCCTTTTAAGTTAAACAAAAGGCCCAGCTTCCAGCGTTTGACACGGGCGGCTCTTGTGATTTATTTTATCAACTGACGTGTTTCTTCGTCATTATGCGCCGTCCGAGCACCAATTTACTCCAATGCGCCAATTTCGCCATGTATTAAGTGAAACCTGACATTCGGTTTTACATCGAAAAGGAAACCGTACGTCTAATTAAAAAATTATGATTTACAAAAGCCAATAAATAGGAAAATTAATTAGCAACCCGGATACTACACTCAGTAGCTCCACGAATGAATTTTAATCATGCATATGAACAAAAATCACAAATTTCCCGTTTGATTCAAACCATCAGTATTTCATTTTTCTTTAAAACCCCCAAGGGTATTCTACCCATCCAAAAGCCAATTGAACTACTACTACACGCTACAACAATATCAAACAAAACGGCAAAGTGTAGAGATAATCCGACGGCGCGGAATCTGGCGAGAATAAGAATAATAAGAAACTCTTTCGCGTTTCCAGCGGAGTGTCTAGTGCGTGCCCGACAGGAATTGAAACTACCCTTAATTAAGTTAAGTGATGTCTTTTGCATCGCAAGCAGCGCCTAACGGTCCGGATGCGGATCGATGTCTCCGAGATTGAGAACAGGAGGAGCGCGATTTATCCACAATATGCTAATGCCACCTTGAACGATTAATTGTTCGTTGAAATCTCCGACACACAGACGACATTATTGTCGCGATCAATGGGGTGTCGACCATAATTTTGCATATTTTATTGACTATTATCTATAGATTATTAGTTACTATACTGAAACTATTTTGAAATCCAATTTTTGATAATTCAGCGCTTTTTACGACTTATTTTGGTAAAGAAAATACCATCTATTTCCGTGTAATAAATTAAATTTGGATAATTGCCGGTTAATTTACACAAGTGAAATGTTTTGTTGATTGTTCGGGCACAGGGCGTAGTCGAAATCGAATATGACTTCGCCTCGGCCGTTAATTAAAAGAAACGGTCTAAGGAATAATTTTCCAGCAAACATGCACGCAGCCAAACAATCGATAAATCTTATGGTATAACCATTACTCGCCCTTAGAATTCCATCGATCGGTTATTTACAGGTAAACGAAAGAGCCACACTATGTGGATTTCCTTCAGCAGCGTCGGGCACGGAACTTATTCCCTTATTTATTTGTGTAATGGAAAAAAATAGTATATAAAATATAAAGGGGCCAATTACAAGAAGTAATCGTTTCGATTATTTATCGCTCCGTGCGCCATTATAAAAATTAATCCGCAGGAAAAGGTGAGGAAGGCCGGATGAGACTTCTGTCGCGAGATTATGACCCATGTCATGACCCGCGCCGGTGCGGTTAAGTTTTTCCATCAGAATTCACTTTCGGAATGATGATAATTTAATTCCCATGATGGGAAAATGCCACGAGTTTATAATTTTTTAGAGCCGATTGACCAGAGTCGGACTCGCACATTTTGTATTTGTTCATACAGCTGCTGGTTTTCTAATTAGAGTTAATTAATGCTATAACCCTATTTTAATGGGATCCAAAAGTCGAAAGTTTAATAACTTTTATAAGAAAGGGATATGTTTGAGTCAAAACCATGCAAGCTTCTAAGGACATATCTTTTACTTTTAATTAGATATTAATAGATAACTATTGCCTATCGAGTTTTCTTAAATTTGCCATTTTTTCTTAACAAAAAAATTCTTACCAAATCCTTATTATAATGACCAACAGTTTACTGCAACCATTAATAAATAATAATATTTATAAATAAATAAAAAATTGGCAGTCAGTACGACACTGCAAAAGCTTTCCTTTTGCCAACTTTAGAAATTCGTATATAATGGAGTACATTAGTAGGTGTATAAAAAGTTTGAACAAAGGACCAGACGCCTAAGAGATAATAAAAACTGCCGCGAGCTTTCACTTTATTTGTCGTAAAAAACCGCCGGTTCGACCGCCGGAGCGGATAATTTTTCCAAGGAATATTAGAACTGCCTCTGGTTATCCCCATTACGTTTCGATGGATTCTAAAACACCGGCAAATGTTAAATCTCCGTTTCTATATAATATGTTATTCTTTATACACCAAATTATATACCCCATGCAAAGTATCATACCCACAAATTTTATCATCCGAAATTCCCAGCAAAAAAAGATGGGTGCATAGCGTGAATCTCGACCGGTCCCGAAGTTGCAGCGCCACATGAAAATGCACAGTGAAATTCACTTACATCACAATACTTTACATGATGTCGTACTCGCATATTTCCGAATGAAAAATTCGTGCCGGCGAAACGGGGTTAAGTGGAGTCGTTAGGGCGCCGCGTGAACGACCATTCCGGTCGCAGGAAAAAAATTTAGCGAAACTCGAATTTTATTGAAACATCAACGGCGATATAATGATGCTTCCGAGAAGCGTAAATGTTATTCACTTTCTAATGATAAACATCAGCAATTTAAATTGCTCCGTACTTTGGTTTTTAGTTTTAGTAATAGGGGTGTTTTGCCTTTAAGTGAGGTTTGTTATTATTTTCTCTTCTCTTTCCGAGTTTTTGCTGGTATATGATTCTTTGTGTATTGCCAGTTGTAGTTTATTTTAGGAAGAAAAGGAAACACTTCCTTTGACATTATAGTTAGTTGCTGCATTTAACAAGCTAGACAAGAAGTTCCTTTTTTTTCGAACAGTGTTTATTCGAATTTAAATTATCACATTTAATGCCTGCACCTACATTATTGTCATGTTGATTCTGCGGTGAAACATTTTACCGCACATTTTTGGTAAACGTTATGGCCGACCATTACATACAATTTTCTCTGTCCAGTGCATGAATATCGAATTGATATTGCCAATGTTTGCCGTATATGTGGACCGGCAATTCGCAGGGTTGTATTTTAATTTACACCACTACCAATTACCAACAAACCACTATAAATTCAAAATTATTGCTGTTTCAATAAGGTATGTAGCTTAAAAACGCATTTCAATAACAGCTTTCATAAATAGCATCTTAAAGTAGATACAGATGTTTCTACTAATGATTTTATAAAGAGAAAAATTCATTAGGATATGAATTAAACAACATTAAGAATTGCAGTGCAGGAAGTAGAAAACTACAAAGCCGGTCCACTATGAATGATATCTCGTATAAATTTATTATTTATTAGATTGCAATTTGCCTGATGCTACGTTAAATGGGGTTAATATAACTTTACAACCGACAGATCTAGCGGTTTGACGATGAACAGGGCCAGGTTATTCGGAGATGATTATTTCTCGTCACTGTCGGCTCGAATTAATTACTATTCAACAATTTCGAAAACGCTTCATTAAAAATTTTCCCATTTAATTTCCGCTATTCAACTATTTACAATGTATAAGGTCTATTTGCTTATATTTTCGATTGTTTTGTGGACCCGTCTCAAAAGGATGGAATTGAATTACATTCTCGAATTTCGGGCTTAATACGGTTTGCATACCGCCCTTCGTCCCTGTAGGGGTCTTTTTCCTCATGAGATGAGACAACAAACAAAACATTTAAATAAATTATGGAAAGTAGAGAGGCTGATACCTACTTTCAGTCAGTCCGATGCGTTCAAATATTTATCGGGTATAATCTAGGCGTTTCTTAAGCAACTCCGCTACGGGAACATCCAGACAGAAATTCCCTTCTCTAATTGGATATCTCAGAGTGTTTGTTAAAATTTCATTTTCAACAGACGCGAAATAAAAAAAGAGTCGCGTTTACTTTCCAACTCCGGATTATTTTCAACCGTCGAAGGTCTAATTATATTGTTTATAAACATTCGCAATTTACAAGATTGTCGAGCGTTTTCTTTTAATTAAAAAACCTCTCCTGTTATTGAACGCGCGCCTCAAATCCGTCATTTGCGCTCCGGTAAATTTAAAAACAACAACTCCGAGATCGGAGAGCGGCCGAAGAGAGCGAGAGAATAGAGCGAGTAACAAATGAATAAGGCGCACTTTGGAAACAATGGAATGAAGGGCCGAAGGATAGGCAGAGTAAGAGGTGGCGACATGAAGTTTCCTGTAATATGCCGGCCGTCCAGAAACGCCGCTTTTATAAAATATTCAACTTAGAGCGTATTGATCCGGAAGTTCCTTCACTCAAAACTAAAGTGCTTTGTGCATCTACTGCGTCGTAAGGAACAGTTTTCGGATGCTCCGATGTAATAGTTGGTTTATATAGTACAATGTTAGGGTAGGCATTCCAATTATTCCGGAATTTACATTTCATTATCTTTGAATTTTAATTAAATATTACACTGTGTTTATTAAATATATGTGGCAAAAATTCAAAGGGTTGTTCCTTGGAATATTCTATAAGAATGTTATGTCCTTTGATGACAGATATATAGTAGGAAGACAGGAATAAAGGACGAGCGTCAAATTTGATACTCCCTGTATACATATAGGATATCATTGTAACTGCCCACTGCAAAGTAAATTATAATTTTAATATTACAAGATCCTTTATTAATTTGCAAATTAATTTATTTATAAAGGTTATTAGAAAATAATATTATCGAAGGTGTACGATGAGAATTCCCTTCGAATTATCGATTTGCCCGCTCGACAACCTTATGCTTTCTACAAAAAAAAAACTCGTTTATTATTTATTCCTTAATAACTTCGCCCCATAATTTC